CCGCGGAGGAGGAGGACGGGCATGCTCCTGGGCCGTGCCCAGCGGAGCAGGGGGAGGAATAGGACGAAAAGAAAGGCTTCACCATTGCTCATTGCATTGGCCTTGCAGACGTGCTGCAGCGGATCTCTGCGTGGATTTCTGCGTGGACTTTTGCCCGAGACGGCGAGCGAACAACGAAGTGAGTTTCGCGTGGATTCTTGTCGGTCTTCACCCCTGGCCAGGCAAAGATCCGCACGAAATGCACCTCGAGACCCGGAGCGACATTCTCCGGGACACTCCAGGCCCAGCCTATCGTTTTGCAAACGAAATCCGCTCTGCGATGTTGGCGCGAGGACATGTTAGATGTTCCTTCTGGGGACCTTCCTGGAGCCACTCGTTCCACTCGTGCGTCGAAGCTGCGTCGAACCTGAGTCGAACCTGAGTCGAACATGAGTCGAACCTGAGTCGAATCTGAGTCGAACCTGAGTCGAACCTGAGTCGAACTTGAGTCGAACCTGAGTCGAACAGATCCATTAGGTGGCCCCCAGGAAGGTCCCCAAAACGAGCATCGAAGACATGGCCGCTGCAGGCACCGCAGCGCCAACTGACGGGCGCGGAGCGTGAGGAGCTGAAAGGGGGCGTTCTTGCCGGCCACGGCGGGCCTCGTCACTGAAGATTCAGGTTCAGGTCGGGCACGTCCCCCTACTGTAGGCTACAGGGTGGCAGGGGGAGAAGGAGGTGGATGAGGAGGTGGAGGAGGGGGAGGGGGAGGAGGAGGAGGTGGAGAAGGAGGTGGAGGAGGGGGAGGGGGAGGAGGAGGAGGAGGGGGAGGAGGAGGGGGAGGAGGAGGGGGAGGACGGAGGAGGAGGAGGAGGGAGGAGGAGGAGGAGGAGGAGGAGAAGGAGGAGGAAGGAGGAGGAGGAGAGGAGGAGGAGGAGGAGGAGGACGAGGAGGAGGAGGAGGAGGGAGGAGGAGGAGGAGGGAGGAGGAGGAGGAGGGATGAGGAGGAGGAGGAGGAGGAGGAGGAGGAGGAGGATGAGGATGAGGAGGAGGAGGAGGAGGAGGAGGAGGAAGGGGAGGAGGAGGAAGGGGAGGACGAGGGGCATATTAGAAAAGAGGGGGCCACGAAGAGGATCAGTGAGGAATCCACAGCGATTTTTTCATCCAAAACCATCATGTAGGCTACAGGATGGTTGTGGATGAAAAAACAAACACACCAGCAAAAACATGCTCAAACATAATCAGAAAATGGTGGACCAACATCGTCCCCATATCTTCTTGCTGTGTTTGAATTCTTCTCCGTTAGAGAAGGACAAGCCCGACTTGAACCCAGACCGAAGAAACGGACAACACAAGGCCAGCGCCCCTCCTGAGCACAAAGAAGTCCCTCTTTCACCGCACTGGCTGTATAGAAAAAGGAAACAAGCGCCATAAACATAAAACTTTTGGCGTTCCGCGCGGATTTCTTGGATCTGCGCCTGACCCCCCTCCCTGGCGCTCGAAGCGCGCCAGGGGCGGCGCTGGAGGCGCCGCTGAGGGGCCCCAGCGCGGATCCAAGAAATCCGCGCGGAGCGCCAAAAGTTAAGTTTTTGGCGTTTCGTTAGTCTTCTACTGTTGACCACGTACCAGGCCACCCCAACCCAACCCGAAGACCCGAACTCGACCAGAACTTCGGGTGGGGGGGGGTGCGGGTTCCAGGCGTTTCGTTTCCATGGTCCCACTCCCCACTGGACATGGAGGGCACATGGAGGCCTTCGGGTCGGGTTGGGGTGGACTGGTGAGTGGTGAACTCCACTGCCCGCGCCGGGACGGCAGTGAAGAACATTCCGATGCGGCCCAAGCCAGCCAGGGAGGCCGAGGCACACCTGGCGAGGCTGGGGGGCAGGAGCCGAAACCCACAGAGGCCAAGACGGGGGCCGCGGAGAAGAGCGGGGGCAGGGAAAGGCGACACCAACACCAACACCCCGGTGGTGTGGTCCCCCCCCCCTCTCGCTCGAGACATCCCCAGCCTCCAGCTCGGAGAGGCCTCGTGGACCTCCTCGCCGGAGGTGGCCCACCCTGGTGGTGCTGGTGTCGCTTCTCCCCCCTCCGAAAGAGAGGACTGCGGAGGCGAGCTCGCAATGGGGAGGGGCAGCGGGACAGGCATGATCGTTCGATCCTGCGGGCCAAGCGGCGGAGCAGACCGAGGCGTCAGCGCCCGCTGAATCTGTCATTCAGGAACCCTTACCACTCGATCGGAGTGAGGGGGGCGAACGGTCATTGGTTGTCATTGGGTACAAAGCAGGGGTTGGGATCCGTGGTGTTGTGTGTGTGTGTGTTGTTTGTTTGCTTGTTTGTTTCAATAATTGTTTCTTGTCGTCGTCCCGCCCGCGACCCACCCGCGACCTACCCCGCGACCCACCCCGCGACCCACCCCGCGACCCACCCCGCGACGCATCCGCGATCCACCCGCGACCCACCCGCGACCTACTTGCGACCCACCCGCGACCCACCCGCGACCCACCCCGCGACCCACCCGCGACCCACCCGCGACCAACCCGCGAACCACCCGCGACCCACCCGCGACCCACCCACATTGGTTGAACGAAGAAATCTGCGCCTGCGGCGGGCTCGTTGCATAAATTATGAAACTTTGGCGCCTGCGGCGGGCATCTCCAGAGTCTCGCAAACTGCCGACGTCCCCACCGCCCCTCTCACTCGTATGTGCATGTGCGGTGTGCTGCGTATAATCACGCGGGCCACGCGGGCTGCAAAAAAGGCACAAGACGGCTTGTCACTTAGATGCGTCCGCTCGCCAGAAAACAATTTCTAAGACGTCTACAACGACCACGCACGAGGAACTGCATCTCATGCGTCCGCTCGCCTGGAAACAAAGCCCAGATGTCTACAATGCCGCCGCGCGAGGAACTCCATCCCCCCCTCCAGCACTGATGGGGACAATGAATCACACACGTCAGGATAGGAATCGTAAAAGGTGGACGCAACGAACACACAGGCTGGGCGGTTCACGCACACCAGCGAAACATCACACTCCGTGATGTAGGCAAGGGTGCAATGCGAGTCCCTCCTGTCATACGCGCTTATGTTGCACTCTGTCTGCGAGTGCAAATGACGCGGGGCTTAAGGGCCACTATGGCAATGATGACGTGTTCACTGTTTCGCGAAGTGATGACTGCTGCCAGGGGGGATAACCTGAACTGACAACAAGGTAAGATTTCGATCAAACGAATGCCGCGAAATCGAATTCCAGAATTGCACCGCAGGCGAAGAGAACAAAGGGCCCAAGTGACACAATACAAGTGTTTAACCTAATGCCTGCAACACCAGGGAAGCCGATTGCACAAACGATCCTTGAAACAAATTCCACAGACTAATGCAGCTTCACTGCGGAATTTCAATCACAGGTACCCCCCAACAAGATCAGATCGGCAATTCCTCAAATGGGCTCCATCAAATCAACGACTGTGTCACCTTGCCTTTCCTAACCCACGTCTTCGACCAACAACAAGACGTTGGCAAAACTAGGAAACGGCATGCCGGGATGGCTCGAGATGCTCTGAGGTTGCGGGCGCATGAGGATCAATCGGGAGACGCGGCCGTTCCAAAGCGTACTGAGAAACTCTGGGGGCGCTCCGAAATGCTCTGGTGCGATTGCTCTCTTTTCTTTGCCAGCCTGACCCTGAGATCAGCCGTCACGAAACAGACTCAGCACCGAACAAAAACACGGTCCGAGCCCCAAACCCGACCTTTCTGCTGCCCATCTCGGGCCGGATCGACCTGTGAGGGCCCCGGGACCCAGACCACGGAGAGCTCGCCCTACATGGAAGCACGTCACGCTGTGATCTCCAGGGAGACCAGAACCCTGGGACCACAAAGATCTCCCAGAGTACAGTCGGGGCGTTGACCTAAGGAACCCTAAATGAGGAACGAGGCGCCTATGTACCATAAGTGAAACTTCGATTTCGTATCAAAAACCTCAGGAACATCTAAGGAAAGCTGCGAAACAATCAAGGAACACGGAGCCCCTCCCCCAACGAAAAGGGTTCCTTCTTCAGGGCCCCGACTGTAGAGAAGCCAACGGAGCGAGACGTACACCCCCTGATCATCCCAGCAGTGGCGGGGCCAAGATCGAGGGCTCACGCGGCTGCATGATCGTTCGAGCTTGGTGCACGGGGCTTCGTTTCAGTCGGGCGTGTCCCCCTACGGGGGGATTTTTGGGCGAAAAATGACAAATACTCAAAACATGCCCATCGCATGGGCAACCATAGAGGGGCATGCCCGGCTTGATTCTATGCGTTCCGCTCGTCATTCGCAAAGGAACACCGTGCTGTGTCGCCGATGCGCCATATGCCCAAACAGGAACACCGTGTTGTGTCGGACGACCCAAGCCCACACCCCACCGACGTACCCCTGCACGCGTAATCCGCATTGGTCCCAGGACGACTGCACAATCCGCTCGAGCACGCTGTATACATACATATGACATATATATACATATATATATATATATATATATGTTGGCAATGGTGTCTATGCTAGGCTCAGTGTGTACGTCTCAGGAGTGGGCGTTTCGGAGTGCTGACCGCCGAGTTGTCCTCGGGTATCGGCCGTGAGACTCTCGAAGGTGGAAATAACAGACGGCCGCCGTCGGATGCCCTGAGCCCTAAACTTGAATCATCGTTCTTGGAAGCGCTTCTTTTACCTTCGCCACCTTCCGAGAGACACCCGCTGGCTTCCGCCAACGGATCCGACCCCATTCGACGTCTGCCAGCCTTTCGCCGGGAAACAGATATCGACTTCAGATTCCCTCGAGGGCGAGGTTCTCCCTGCAGCGCCCCATACGACGCAGGGGCCGCAAGGCCACAGAAACTGCGCAAGGACCGATGGAGGTCCAAGGGGGGATTCAGCACAAATCGGCGGGGGCACACAAGCCCTGTCGCAGGACACCAGCCATCAGCCCCTCTCACCCTGCGTGCAAGCAAGAACGTGACATCATGAGCTTCCTTTAGGTCCCGAAGCTCCTGTACGCTGCCCACCTGCTTGCTGGACTTCAAAGGCCGCGCAGACAACGGCTTCGATGACGCCTTGGAGATAGAAAAAGGGCATTGCTTCCGAACGCTGGAACTCCTTTCGCCCTCCTTAGCTGGCTACCTCCCGTCCCTTGCGTGCCTCAATGCTCCTGTCCAAGCTGTGCTCAGCCTCCCCAACGAGAGAACGTGCCACGAGCCCCCAACGCGTCCCTCTACGGCCCATGCAAACTTGCGAACCGACTGCTACATGTCGGCTTCGATGAGCGAGCGGCACTCGGGCGAAGAGCAAACACCAGACTCGTGGATATCCAGCGGTAGCCCATGCTTTGGGATCGGGCCGCTCGGTCTTGACTGGCGGTTCTTCGCAATGAAGGCTCCGACAGCAATGGACATTGAAAAGCGGAATGCCCACAGGCCGTGAACAACACGTTGGGTAATGCCACTCACGATGCCCTTCGGCCTATTTATCCAACGGGACTACCAATTTTTGATAACCTCCTCTTGAGATGCTCCCCACAAACAAGGAATCTCCATCAGGTCATCATTGAAACATCCGTTGCCTCCGAATTGCGAATAATCGAACATTCCGAATTGCGAATCTCGACCCCTTTCCCCGGACTGGCTTTTCCTCCCGAGTCGTTTCTTGACGGTCCCCGGGCCCGGCAAGGGCCCCAAAAAGGGCCGAACAGAAATGAAAGACTTCCCGTCGCGAGGTTGCTCACAACGCGAGGGGGTCTGGGCTCTTCCGTCGAGGAATGAGCTGACCCCAGACCTCACAAAAACATACTCTTTCTCCTATTCCTTTCGTCGAGGAATACCCTGCGATCCGACGATGCAGAAAAATGCCACATCGCAAAGCATCACGACAGGAGCCCCAAACTCAATCCTCCTGCGCCATTTGTCGAGCCGGATCGATCTGTGACGGTCTCCGGGCCCGAAACGAAGCGTAAACGCCTCTGGCCATCGCTCGGACGTCCATTCCCTGTGCTTTTTTCGGGTTCGTGCGTGGCTTTCTCGCAGGATGATTCAGGATGCTCCTTAATACTCCCCACCGTGAAACAAGTGCACACGTCCGAGCGATACCAAGGCCTGTTGCGAAAGAAATTGCAACGCCAGGATCTCAGGGTACCCCGGATTCCATAACAAAGTGGGGGGGTCACATTCGGGGGGGGGGGGGTCTGATTTCAGCTGTCTTGGAGGGTTCGGGGGGGCCTGGGCAGAGTGCCGCCCTTTCATGGATGGTCTGGGGGGGCCTAAAACTGGTGGTCTGGGAGGATTTTGTGACCCCCTCCCTTGTATTATTACGAAACCTGGCATAAGCGGGCCCTCTCCGACCGGGGCCGCATCCGCCTGCTCCGGCGACGCGGCCGTCGCGGCACCCGCCCGGGGCGTACGGGGTGCCGGCGGGCTGCCGGCGCCCGCGGGCGCGCCGCCTGCGAGCGTGCGCGGGGCGGCCACGGGGTCGAGGGGATCGAGAGGCCGAGGCCATCGAGGATCGAAGGGTCGAGGACCGAGGGATCGAGGGATCGAGGGTCGAGGGATCGAGGGATCGAGAGGTCGAGGGATCGAGTGATCAAGGGGCCGGGGATCGAATGTCGAGGGATCCATGGATCGAGGTGCCATGGATCGAGGGATCGAGGGATCGAAGGCTCGATGATCGAAGGGTCGAGGATCGAGGGTCGTGGGAGCGAGGGTCGAGGTTTGAAGCTGGAGGCCTCCCAAATGGGGTCCGAGCAGGAGGCTTTTTTTCTTGGGGCTCAAGCAAAACTACTTGCATGGTATGCCCCCCTCCCCCACTACGCCGCCTTTGCCGCCGGCGCTGTGCCGAAAAGGCGTGCAAGTGAGCCCCGAGTCGCGCGAAGTCCACATTATCTTTCAGGCCTCACCACGACCTCCTCCCCCCCTCCATTCAAGCAAACTTGCAAGAGTATGAAAAACCAATGCCTCTTCGAGGATCAAATTTCGAAGCTGGAGGCCTCCCAGACGAGGTTCGAGTAGATAGTGTCGCAGGATCGCGCCGCAACGCCGATGCATCTTCGATGTATCGGCGACGTCGGCGTGGAGACCCTCGAGATCCACATCGAGCAGAATCGCCTATGCTACATCGGCCAAGCGGCGCGATCCTCCGACCCGGGGATCGAGGGATCGAATGCCCCCCATGGCACCGTGACAAAAATCACGACGGAGGCTTTTGAGCGAGACCTCCGGGGGCCCAGAAGGCCGGAAGGCAGAGGTCTTCGAGGGGCGCAGCCCGAAGCGCCCGCGGGACCAGCTTGCCGAAGCATGGAGCGCGTCGACGGCTTCGAAGCGGCCGCAGGGTCGACGGAGCGAAGAGCCGCCAAACTCGAAAGAGGTGCAACGGACTGATCCCGCATGTTTCCTGTGGACTTCGAAGGCTTCGGGGCCCTGGGTGCTGTGCATCAGCTGCGCCTCGCCGAAGGCAGTCCGGGGAAGCTGGAGTCGTCCCGAACGGCCGCCTGATGCCCGAGTTGTGGCCCGAAGGCCGACCGAGGAGAATCCCAACTCTTCGACAACATGGCTGTCTCAACCGAAGCGAGCGAGAGTCGAGATTCGGAGCGCCCGCAAGATCGATGGTTCGAACGCCCGAGGCTTTTCAGGATCGAAGCGAGAAAGCCCTTTGCACAGCAATGGTTGACCATACAAGCACCCCTGATGCTTTGGGAGGGGCCCTAACATTGGAGGGCCAGGAAACATCAGGGATAGGGGCTCGTCTCTGCAGATGTATCGAGTCAACCCCCCACGTCATTATTCCCCAGTCAATGCTTGCACTGAAGGGGTCCTAGCGGATACTGATAGATTTGGCGACGATTTCTGGCCGATTTTGGTGGCCGGCTGGGTTCCCGGGGTCCCGTCTCCGGGTTCCCGGGTTCCTGGTCACTGATTCTGGGCCGATTTCGGTGGGTTCCCAGGGGGATGGGTTTACCTCCCCCTCCTCCTGCCCGGGTGTTTAGCGAGACGCTGGAGCGTCCAAGATGGCCTCGGTGAGGAAGCCAAACTCATTGATTTGACAAGCAGATGTTGACACCATGTTGGCCTCCGGGGGACGGGACCTGAGTAGGGAACTCTCCTCCTTCGATCGACCTCCTCCAAGATGGCCCCCGTGGCGTCCAAGGGTGCCCCAGGATGGCCCCAAAAGGTGCCCAGGAGGCCCCAAGACGCTCCCAAGAGGCCCCAAGATGCCCCCAACGGGCCCCAAGAGGCCCCGAGGGGCCCCAGGAGGCACTCAAGACGCCCCAAGATGCCTCGACGAGATACCAAATTCATTGATGTTACTCAGATGTTGGCCTCATGTAGGTCTCCAGGGGGTGAGGGGCTGATGGGGCCTGGTTAAGGACCACCCCCCCAATTTGATCGATCTCCTCCGAGACGGCACAAAGATGGGCCACGATCTCCCTCTCTCTCTCTGAGGAGGAGGAGGAGGAGGAGGAGGAGGAGGAGGAGGAGGAGGAGGAGGAGGCGGAGGCGCAAGGCAAGCAGGAGCGGGCGGAGGACGCGCAACCACGGGGAGGGGAGATTGGGACGCCCTATAGCGTGACGCCCCCCCCCCCCCCCTCGGTACGCCCCGCGACACATATGTGGCACGTGCGCAGGATACGCCCCCTGTAGCACGGCCGCTGGCGCATCCCGGGGCGCGCCCCTGCCAGGTCTTGTGGCTCTGGAGGTCGGAAAAGGGGTGTGGCACAGAGGGGTGTGGAGCCCATCGTGGGAACAGCGATGCGATCTGCGATGAGTGGCACCGCCAGAGTTCCCTTGACATCGAATTAACACCACACGCCTTTAATGGAGGGTGACGATTAATAAATGACCGGGGGTCGTGTTCACGCGGCGGCGCCCGGGATGACGATTAGAAAAAACGACCGCGGGCTGGAAAACTATGTTTTCAATCGTTCTCCTCCAGTCCGAAAATTGTGCAGAAAGTGCAGAATACTATTTGTTTCATCGTTCTCTCCCATAATTTTTCTTAATCGTCATCCCGCGTACCCCTTTTCGACCTCCCGAGGGGCGCGTCCACGTGCCCTGCGCCCCCTGTCGGCGAGTCCCGCCCCGCGCCCCGGAGGCCGCGGGCTCCGCGAGAGAGGAGCGCTGGCGCCGGCGTCGACCCCGGCGGAGCTGGCGCTCGCGAGGCCTTCGGCGACGCGGCCCCCTCTCGGCACGGGGCCCCGGGGCCCGCCCCCCCCCCCCCCGCCCCCCCGCAGGCACGCCGAGGAGGAGTAGGAGGAGGAGGAGGAGGAGGAGGAGGAGGAGGAGGAGGAGGAGAAGGAGGCGGAGGAGGCGGAGGAGGCGGAGGAGGAGGAGAGGAGGAGGAGGCGGAGGAGGCGGAGGAGGCGGAGGAGGAGGAGGAGGAGGAGGAGGAGGAGGCGGAGGAGGGGGAGGAGGAGGAGGAGGGGGAGGAGGAGGAGGGAGGAGGAGGAGGAGGGGGAGGGGGCGGAGAGCGGACGCGCAGCTCCGCGGGGGCGCGCGGCGGGGCGGGGCGCTCGGGCCCTGGACCGCTCACGAGGGGCGAGCGCAGCCGCATCGAGGCCCCCGCGGCCTGGGCTCTCGGGCGCGAGTCGTCTGCAGGCGCGCGGTCGCATGGATGTAACAGGGGATACGTCGACCCCTATCCCAGGCTTCGTGGGGTTTCCGAATGGACCAGAAATTTGGGGCCTAACCCTGGGATATACGATGGGGGGTGTCCATTCTCGATAGGGGTGCGTCCGAATAGCCCCCTTGGGGTGTATCCCAGGGTTTTCCCATTCTTCTGAGCGGCCAGACTTTTCGGGCGAAACTCGGGGATTGGGGGAGAAACATCACCCGCGAGGATGCGCTCCGCGCAGGGCGTCCGCGACATGCACGGCCTGTACCCTTTGGGGCTCGCGGGCCCGGGGCCCCGCCCGCGGGGCCACTCGACGAACGCGCGGGTCGAGAACAGGAGCCTCGTCCGCCGAAGGCCCCTGGATGCACACCGAACGACGAGAGCTCTCCAAGCGCGAGAGAGCCCAGGCACACCCCCTCCAGAGCCAGGTCGGAGATCTTCTGACCCGGGTCAATCCAGACCCGGGTCAATCGGGCCTTGCAAGCTCCTACAAGATCCTGCATCCAATCCCGGGTCAATGCGAAAGATCCTGCAAGATCCTGCAGGATCCTGCGCCCAAACACGGGTCAATGCGACCATGCCCCTGCAGGATCCTGCAGGATCGGGCGCTCTGGCAGACCCCCGGTTGCATGGACCCCCGTCTCAAGGCTCCCGACCAGGGCTGGCTCCGGGCCCCTCGCGCCAGCTTCGTCGGTACCCATGCCTCCCCCGAGGGTCCGCGCGCCATTTTGGCCTGCCCACCGGGATGGCCGCGTTCATCCGGGCGGCCGCAGCAGGGAACGCGACATGAGGAGCGAAACCCTTCCTGTTGGCCCAGAGAACTCACGGGCGAGGAGCAGCAAGTCCCCTCCGAGTCCTCGAGCGGTCCTCAGTCCAGAGCTTTGGCTGCACGTGCGCCGCAGCAAAGAGGGTCCGAGGACCGCGCCGCATCGTCGACCCATCGGCGACCTAGCCACGGAGACCGCCAGGCTTCCGGTGGAGCCGCATCCCCAGCGGTCCGGTGTTGTGATTTTCTCCATGCGCGGCCCCTGGAAGCCTCGACCCATTCCCCAGGACCGGCTTTTCATCCTGAGTCGTTTTTGCTGACAGCCCCGAGGCCCAGCGAGGTCCCTTGGGGGCCGAACTCAACGAATCACGCTGCCGCGGAACCCCACATACTTACATGATGGCTGCAGTGTGATGATAGCTGAAGAAAAGCCGATGAGAATGATGTTGGTGGCCGCTGCCCCGCCGATGCAGTTGGTGACGCCAGTCAACGCATAGAGACCGCACCCTCTAGCGTCGAGAGATCGCTTCGCCCGCCGTGCCCTGCGCGCCTGCAACGCATGGAGACCGCCGCCCCTGTGCACCCCCTTGGGTGTCGAGGAGAGTGCTACGCCTGCCGTGCCCTGCGGGCCTGCCCCCCGCCGCGCCCGCTGTGGTGTCGAGCAAGTGCCACGCCTGCCGTGCCCTGCGCGCCTGCAACGCATAGAGACCGAACCCCCGGTGCACCCCCTCTGGCGCCGAGAAAATTACGCGACCGAGGAAGCCCACATACTTCTATTATGGCTGGAACGATGATAGCTGGAGTGAAGCGTGTGGGACCGATGTTGGTGGCCGTTGCCCCGCCGATACCGTTGCATGTCGAGAAAGTGCCACGACAGTTGAGCCCTCCAAAATTGGCGCGAATGGAGACCGCGGTGCAGGACCACCCCCTGCCACCTCCTCCGGTGTCACGAAAGTGCCAAGCCTGCTAGGCCCTGCGACATTGGCGCGTATAAGAAACCGGTGACGGCCGCACCCCCTCTGGTGCGGAGAACATACCCCGCCTGCTAAGCATTGCAACAATTGCGCGTATAGACACCGGGGTGAGGGACCACCCCCTGCGCACCCCTCCGGTGTCGAGAAAGTGCCACGCCTGCTAGCAACATTGGCGCGTATGGAGACCGCGCTGAAGGACCACCCTCTGCGCACCCCCTCTGGTGTCGAGATAATGTCACACTTTCTAGGCCTTACGACATTGGCGCGCATGGAGACCGCGCTGAAGGACCACCCCCTGCGCACCCTCTCCGGTGTCGAAAAAGTGCCGCGCCTGCCAGGCCCAGCAACATTGGCGCGTATATAGAGACCGCGCTGAGGGACCACCCCCTGCGCACCCCCTCAGGTGTCGAGAAAGTGCCACACCTGCTAGGCCCTGCGACATTGGCGCGTATAGAGTCCGCGCTGAGGGACACCCCACCCTCTGCGCACCCACTCAGGTGTCGAGAAAGTGCTGTGCTGAGCTGAGCTGAACAGTGCTGAGCAGTGCTGCGCTGTGCTGTGTACGTGCTGTGTGTCAATGTGCTGTGTGCTGTGCAGTGCTGTGCTGTGCTGTGCTGCGCTGCGCTGCGCTGCGCTGTGCTGTGCTGTGTGAGAAGGAGAAGGAGGGGAGGGGAGTGAGCGTCGCGGGTGCGACGCGGCAGGGAGGAAAACCAGAACCCCACGAAACATGTTGGAAATAACACGCCTACTGCGTCGTGCGAGCTTGCAACTGTAGAGACAGCCGTGTCTTCACCCTCTGGTGTCGAAAGAGTGCCACGCCTGCTAGGCCCTGCGACATTGGCGCGTATAGAGACAGCGCTGAGGGACCACCCCCTGCGCACCGCCTCTGGTGTCGAGAAATCTCCAGCCCTGCGATGCCCTGCGACATTGGCGCGTATGGAGTCCGCGCTGAGGGACCACCCTCTGCGCACCCCCTCCGGTGTCGAGAAAGTGCCCTGCGACATTGGCGGGTAGATAACGCGCTGAGGGACCACCCCCTGCGCACCCCCTCTGGTGCCGAGAAAGTGCCACGCCTGCTGGACCCTGCGACATTGGCGCGCATAGAGTCCGCGCTGAGGGACCACCCTCTGCGCACCCCCTCTAGTGTCGAGAAAGTGCCACGCCTGCTAGGCCCTGCGACATTGGCGCATATAGAGACCGCGCTGAGGGACCACCCTCTGCGCACCCCCTTCGGTGTCGAGAAAGTGCCGCGCCTGCTATGCCCTGCGACGTTGGCGCGTATAGACACCGGGGTGAGGGACCACCCCCTGCGCACCCCCCTCCGGTGTCGAGAAAGTGCCACGCCTGCAAGGCCTTGCGACATTGGCGCGTATAGAGACCGCGCTGAAGGACCACCCCCTGCGCACCCCCTCTGATGTCAAGAAAATGCCACGCCTGCCAGGCCCTGCGACATTGGCGCGTATAGAGACCGCGCTGAGGGACCACCCCCTGCGCACCCCCTCTGGTGACGAGAAATTGCCACGCCTTCTAGGCCCTGCGACATTGTCGCGTATAGAGTCCGGGGTGAGGGACCACCCCCTGCGCACCGCCACTGGCGTCGAGAAAGTGCCACGCCTGCTAGGCCCTGCGACATTGGCGCGCATAGAGTCCGCGCTGAGGGACCACCTTCTGCGCACCCCCTCCGGTGTCGAGAAAGTGCCGCGCCTGCTAGGCCTTGCGACATTGGCGCGTATAGACACTGGGGTGAGGGACCACCCCCTGCGTGCCCCCTCTGGTGTCGATAAATCGCCAGCCCTGCGATGCCCTGCGACATTGGCGCGTATATAGAGACCGCGCTGAGGGACCACCCCCTGCGCACCCCCTCTGATGTCCAGAAAGTGCCACGCCTGCTAGGCCCTGCGACACTGGCGCGTATAGAGACCGCGCTGCTCGAGGGACCACCCCCTGCGCACCCCCTCTGTTGTCGAGAAAGTTCCACGCCTGCTGTGCTGTGCTGAGCTGGTCTATGCTGTGCTGTTCAGTGCTGTGCTGTTCGGAGCTGTGCTGTGCGGAGCTGTGCTATGCTGTGCTGTGCAGTGCTGTGCTTTGCTGTGCTGAGCTGAGCTGTGCTGAGCAGTGCTGTGCTGTGCTGTGCTGCGCTGTGTGAGAAGGAGAAGGAGGAGGAGGAGGAGGAGGAGGAGGAGGAGGAGGAGGATGAGGAGGGGAAGAGGGAGGTGAGTGAGCGTCGCGGGTGCGACGCGGCAGGGAGGCAAACCAGAACCCCACGAAACATGTGGGGAACAACCGCGGTCTTGATGTTTGCCCATACGTTGGACCTCTGGGTCGCCGAGGCAGCGGCGACGCGGCGCTGGCTCTCTCCGCCCCCTCCGTTCCGGCCCCGTCTGGGCGGGCCAGGCTCTGAGAGCTGGGCGGCGGGGGGAGGGGTCCCCGCAGTCAGCCCGTAGAATGAAGACGCAAGATAAGAGACATCTTTTGTTTGAATCGGCGATAGCCGGGACTAACCAGGGGGAGGAGGGAGGAGGGGGTCGGCCGATAACCTAACCCTCGCGATGTGGGCAGCCCTGCATTTGCCCGCGCTCCACCACCCCAGACCTGCACAACCGGCAAGATTGGGTTATCCTGGGGGGGCGGAGGGGGGGCAAGCCCGATAACCCGGGTTATCTCCCGACCCTCAAAAAAAAGTCTCCAGTCAACCCGTAGAATGAAGACGCAGGATAAGGGTACAAAAGCCCTGGATGGCCACGTCGACGCTTTGCGAGCGGGTCGCGACCAGCGAGAGAGTCCAAGGATGGGGCGACGGGGAAGAATGCAAGGGCAACCTAGGAAAGCTGCGCATCCTTACTAGTTGACTGCGGACATCATCCGATGTCGTAATGATACCAATGCAAAGACCTTGGACGTTCCAACCCAATCCCCAAGGGCGATATCCCGTCCCGGTATGATATTTCGACGGCACAAAAGGGGCTTGGCAAGGGCCCTCGGAGGCAGAATTGTCCAACACGTGAAACGTATGGTGTCTGTGCTGACTTGTCATTGCAAAAGCTCATTCCTCATCGTTTCCGAACTGTCCCCCTTTGACTCGCCCAGGACATGCTCAAAACGGCAGGCGAACGGCCTGAAAGGCAGAAATATAAATGCGCGCAAGACGGTAACCAAACGTCGGTATTGCAAACGACAGCATGACAACTCCCCCAGCGCTTCTTTAAGAACATCCGAAGGTCTGTGCCAACTCGCCGCCTGGCGCCCGCGTGGTGGCCACGGCGGTGTACCGCTCCATCATGGCGGCCTCCACGAAGGCCTCTCTGGGGCGCGGCCCTCCTCCTCCACCAGTGGCGATGGGAAAAGCAGCACGCGCGCAAACCCGAAGGGGAGGGGGACAGGGAATGGCAAGGAATGGGCGGCGCCATTCGGTATGCATTCGGTATGCGGGCTGTGGCACCCCGACGGGGATCCTGTTCGAGCGGAAACCCCCACCCGCCAGCACACACAGACACACAGACACACAGACACACAGACACACAGACACGACACACAGACACACAGACACACACACAGACACACACACAGACACACACAGACACACACACAGACACACACAGACACACACACACACACACAGACACACACAGACACACACAGACACACACACAGACACACACACACACACACACGCACGCACGCACGCACGCACGCACTCACACAGACACACACACACACACACACACACACGCACGCACGCACGCACGCACGCACACACACAGACACACACACACACACACACACACCCATAGCCACCATGGCATCCCACCCGAGAAACCCAGGGGTCGCGTAGAAAGTATGCGTGCTGGCTGCGAGCTCCTGACCTGGGTCGCTCTCGGCGGTGCACAAGCCTCCCTTGAGTAAACCTCCCCTTCGTGAACACGGCCCGGGGCCGAAACCGACGGACCCGGACCCGCAGAAATGACGGCCGCGGCGCCCCCTCGCGAGCCGAGAACGGCCAGGTCGCGAATCGGCGCGTCAGGGTAGGAGGTCTGTCCACCCCCGATCCGAGGGGCGACGCCAGGCTGGGGGCGCCCGCGGCCTGCCGCGGCGCGGTCCCGCCGACAGCTCCCCAGACCCCCGACGGCATGCCTCTGCTCGCGGCGCGGGGCCCCCAGAGGTCAGCGTGGGGCAATCCTTGTTCCACCACCGCGACCATATGGGGGGCCCCATAATGTACACCACCACCACCTCCCTCTCCCCCTCCCTCTCCCAGGAACGAAAGAAAGAAGAGGAGGGTAGAGGAGGGAGGAGGAATCCACGTGGTCGTGGTGGTGTACATTCTTGGGGCCCCAACCATATGCAGGCATGACGGGAGAAGGGAGGATGGGGAGGTCCTCCTCCTTCTTCTCCTCCTCCTCACTCTCCTACCTGTGGCAGCGGTGGTGGAAAATTGGCCCATCAGTCTGGACCCCTTCCCGGAACCCGTTTTTTGTACCGAATCGCGCGTCCCTGAACAATTTGTCTGCTCGGGTCCTGCGCATGTTCGCTCGGAAGCTGAGCGCGAGCGCGGACACCGCAGTCTCCCGCCGATTCCCGTGGCCTCCCGTGGTCTCCCGTGGCCTCCTCGTGGCCTCACGGGGGTCCAGTCGCGGCACATGGGGTAACAGTGTGCGGCAATGAAACGAAACCAAGACCATGACAAAACTGGACCGGGACACATCGAGGATCTCTGGGACCTGGCTGTTCTGGAATCGAGGAGCGCTGTTGCTTCCGTTTGCTCCCTACGTCTGACGCAGACGATCGCGCCGCGTCGCGGAGACATCGGCGATGCGTCTGCGACGTCGGCAGCACATCGGCGGTGTCGGCGGGGAGAAGATCGGCTGCAGCGCTGGTGCGACGCGATCTTCCATGCTTTCTCTCTCCCTCCCTCCCTCCTTCTCTCTCTCTCTATGTATGTATGTCTATATATATATACATATATATATATATATATATATGTTTCGGCCGAGCTGCCAATCTGCACGACTATACACGTCCGCGCCTAGGACCACATGGCCGCACCGCTGGCGGCCCCACGTCCAGGAGCGCCCGGGCGGCCGGCAGCGTCGGGCGGGCCACCGTGCGCCACCCGGCGCTCCCGCGGGTCGGCAGCGAGCTCCGGCCCCGCTGCCTCTGTCATTGCACCGGCCTTGCAGGCGTGCTGCAGCGGATTGGTGCGTGGGTGTCTGCGTGGATCTTTTCCGGATGCGGCGAGCGAAAAACGGCATGAACTTCGCGTGGATTGCTCTTGGTCTTCGTTCCTGGCCCGCCCCAACGAAAACCACACGACATTCACCTCGAAATCCGGACCGAAATTCTCCAGGACACTCCGGGCCCATCCTATGGTTTTCCGAACGGAAGCCGCTCTGCGATGTTGGCGCCATGGCCTCTGCGAGGCGAAGCAAGAACTGCGATTTCATCCAGAATCTCAGAGAGCAAAGAGACTGCTATCGACGTAGTACCGCGTCTCAAACGCCACATGGCAGTACGGACTGCCTGGCGGTAGGCCTGTGCCGTTCCTCCTTGCACTGGGCTCCTTCTTCAGCTGTAGCCCTGAGGGTGGCAGCAGCAGCGCGGATGATGTGGTTTGTTGCTGGATGGCGGACCGTGCCGTCCGGCAGACGATCCAGTGCTGTGGGGTGGGGAAACCATTCCACATCAAGGACGGCTCTTTCCAGGACTACTCGCCCGTCACGGCGGCGATTGCTGATACAGAGCTCAAGGACCTCCTTTTCAAGCCGCGCCGTGTATAACCATCATCTCGACCAACCTGCGCCAACTTGCCATGTATTGGGAAGCTTTGCCGCGCGGACCAGTAGGGCCCACTATTGCAGGAAACGACGTGGTCGCAGAAAACGTCCACGCAAACACACACACACAGCTGCAACATCATTTGCCTTGGCGCATGCGCGGAGCGGGCGCCGGCAACATAAATGGGCATAGACACCCTTCCTCCCTCCGCCCGCTCCCAAATCAGAAAAGGGTCACTCGAGAACACGGCTGCCTGCCCTCGCATGTCCGTGCTATGTGGGCCTCCTTGGGACTTCTCGTCCCTGCGGCTGGATCCGACGCGAGACGCGGGCCGGGATGGACCCCGGGGAGGAGTCCGGGGCAGAGTCTGAGCGGATGTGGGCCGGGCGGCAGGGCGGCACTCGCCGCAACGTGTCCCCCGCCGGCCCAGGACGTGAGCGCTGCTTCGCAACCTGCACGGGTCTGGACCGCTTCGCTGGAATCCTAAGGTGTCTTTTGACGGCCCTGGGTGGAGGGCAGAACATCCACCACGATAAATAACCACCCCGACACGCGAAGCCGTTCAGTAGACGCATCCAGAGAAGGAATCTAAGAGGGCAGGGCTGCTGAATCAACGCCCAGGGCCGTTTAGCAAACGCCCATTGTCCGGTCCGGGTGGTTTTCCTACCTTGACTGGGGCCCAACAAAGCCGAGAATTGTCCAGTGTACGGCCCTGGGGCCCGAAGCCGAGACTTTGCCAGCAAGTCCTCCGTGGTGATCCTTGTGCGCAGCGCGGGGAAGCCTGGCCTTCGGATTATAATGAAGGGTCCCTGGGACACAAAAATAAATAAACACAAATAAGAGGATTCCCCAAATTTCCTTATACTTTCTGGGTTTCCGTCTTCCCCCCCACTTCCGATATTTTCCTATATTTTCTGGGGAATCGACGATTACTTGTGTCTGAGTGCTTCTTTCCCTCCTGACTCTCCAGAAATCTCTCGACGGGGCGCCGCTGCCAGAAAGCATCCCTGGGCGGGACTGCACCCCTGAGAGCCGACCAAGACATGTTCGAAGAAAGCCCGCCCCAAAAAAGCACCGAAAACATCCCGAAACGAGAGCCACAAGCCGAGAAAACCCGAAAACCTCTTAGAAACGACGCCCGCCACCGCACTCCTCGCCCTCCCCCTCTGACCCTGCCGTCGCTAGGGCGATTCGGATGCACAGGACCGCCCCTCCGCCCCCGGTGGGCGCGCGGTGGCCCAGGGGTGTCCCGGCGTGGTGCCCTGTGGTGCAACGTTGGTATCCCGCTGGTGTCCTGTCGGTGCTCCGTCGGCGGTGGGGGGGCAGTGGCCTGGGGTGCCCCGCCGTGGTCGAAACTGAGATCGCTGGAACGGGATGGACAGTGAGATCAAGAGTGATATCGACAAAGAGGTTGATTGTGACTTGATCGTGTGATCGCTGTTCGATCGATCGTGGGATCGATAGGAGCACCGATAGTGGGAACGATGGTGGCATTTCATCGCAGCGCGACGTCATCATCACACGTCGTCGCTAACCAGAGGGCGCGTCACCAGCATTGACATCATCATACTCATCGCATGTGCCAGCAGTTGGTTCTTCCCTCCCAATCTCCTTGTCACAGAAGTTCTGAACATTTCCGGCGTCTCAGAATGATGCTGCCTCGGCAGCGTTGGCCTCATTGTAGGATCGACGCTTTGTTCCCGTTTTTCAGAATGGCGCTCTCGCCCCAGCGCGGGCCACTTTTCTGGATCCGGGCCCCTCTTCATCGTTGTCGCCCCCCTTCTTTCCCCTCCTCCGCCTTCCCCTGGTCCTCCTGCTCCTCCCACTCCTTGCACTCCAATTCCGACTGCTGCTGCTCGTCCTGATCCTCCTTCCTCAGCCTCCTCCTTTCCCTCCTGCTCATCCGTCACCTCCTCCTCCTTCTCCCCCTGCTCCTATGTACGCAGCTCGTCCGTCTGGGAGTTCCAGGCGGATAGACAAATATCAATGCAATGGGATGGGACGGACGGGCGGAAAGGATAGGATGCCAGACGTTGCACGAGCGCGCCTAGCCTGTCTTCCCCACGCCTCGCCCTCACCCCCTTTTTCCTGGCTTGGGCTTGGGTCGGGCGTGTCCTCCTACACGCGGATGTTGGGCGAGCAAATAGTCATCGAACAGAACTCGAGAACGGCCAAACACTATAGGAGCATCGTCGCCATACTCCTGCTTTGACTATTTGTCGCTACTCCTCCTGTAGAGGGACACGCCCGACTTCAGGCAGGAGGAGGAGGACGAGGATGAGGAGGAGGAAGAGGAAAGGAGGAGGAGGAGGCGGAGGAGGAGGAGGAGGATGAGGAGGGGGAGGGGGAGGGAGAGGGGGAGGGGGAGGAGGAGGAAGAGGAGGAGGAGGAGGAGGAGGAGGAGGAGGAGGAGAAGGAGGGGTGTGGAGGGGGGGCAACAGGAAACCAAAAAAAAAAGCGCGCCTCGCGGCGGCGCCTCTCCGGCGTGAACTCGCGGGCGGGCACCCGGGGCTGACCGGCCGTGTCGGAGGCGACGGACTCCTGGCAGCCGGGGGGGGTCGCTCCTCGTCGACGCGGACCTCCTCGCGCTGCGAGAAAAACACGACGGAGGAGGAGGAGGAGGAGGAGGAGGAGGAGGAGGAGGAAGAGGAGGAGGAAGAGCACGGCAACGGCTTCGAAAGTACCACCACATCGAAATCAGGAGTCTTAGTCCTCCTCGGAGGGCGGCACAAGCTGCCGTCCGCGCTCCCGCGCACGAGCCCACAGGGACTCAGCCCCCTCGCGGGAGCTGAACCGAAAAAGCGCTAGACCGCGCAGACGGTCGACGCCCGTCCCGCCCCACCCACCGCCGCCCGACGAAGCCGCCAGAGAACCTCTGGATAGCGGAGGCACACGGGGAAGCGGGTCGTCCAGACCCATCTTGCCCGATAGATATCCGCGGGCCGTGTCCAATAAAACGGTGGCCCGAGAAACCACACACACTCTCTCTTCGAAGGGTGGCAACCTTGCAGAATCCAAGCCAGTTGGCGCTCCCGCCCAGGAGAGCGGTGGCCAAGGCAATCCGACAAGAGAGCCGATTTTCCACCGTGCCTCCTATAGCACAGATGGGCCCAAATGTCGTTCAGAAGGCGAGGGAGCCTTTGAGGAGGAGGAGGAGGAGGAGGGGGAGGAGGAGGAGGAGGAGGAGAAGGAGCAGGAGGAAGGAGGAGGAGGGAGGAGAGGGCCCCTGAAGGGCCTCGCCGGGCCCCGAGACCGACCAACAACGACTCGCGACGTGTGAAACCGGTCCCAAGGAAGGGGTCGACGAGACCTCAGGCGGCTCACGCTGCGAAGAACCCCCAAAAAACACCGCGTCGGAGGTCTGGGGATGAGGATGTTCGAGAAGGTCGCCGACGATAAAAACGCTATGAACGTTGAGACTGGGAGAGGGAGAAGGAGGAGGAGGAGGAGGGGGAGGGGGAAGAGGAGGAGGGGGAGGAGGAGAAGGGGGAGGAGGACGAGGAGGAGGAGGAGGAGGAGGAGGAGGAGGAGGGGCGCGCGGGGGCGTCAAATCTTGGAGGTTTTCATACGCTTCCATGCTTTGCTGGATCTTCCTCCCCTCGGGACGTCTCCAGCAACGGGCTCCTCAGAGAGAGCGGACCCAGGATGCCATGCTCTCTCCGAAGGGGTACCAGCGGCCCGAGCCTTGGCCCGAGGCCACATCTGATGCTAAACGCCAAGCAAGCGTGAGTCATATCTCAAAATCTCCCTCCTCCTCCTCCTGCTCCTCCTCCTCCCTTTCCTCATCCTGCTCTCCTCCATCTCCCCCTCCTCCTCCTGCTACTGCTTCTCCTCCTCTCCTCCTCCTCCTCCTCCTCCTCCTCGCTCCCTCCTCCTCCTCGTCCTCCTCCCCCTCCTCCTGCTCCGCCTCCTCCTTCTCCACTCGTCCTCCTCCTCCTCCTCCTCGCTCCTCTCCTCCTCCTCCTCCTCCTCTCCGCCTCCTCCTCACTCCTCCTCTCCATCTGCTCCTCTCCTCCTCCTGCTCAATCTGCTCCTCCTCCTCCCCGTCCTCCTCCTCCTCTCCTCCTCCTCAATCTCCTCCTCCTTTTCCTCCTCATCTCCTCTCCTCCTCCTCCTACCTCCTCCTCCTCCTCCTCTCCTCCTGCTCCTCCTCCTACTCCCTCCTCCCTCCTCCTCCTCCATCTCCTCCTCCTCCTCTGCTCCTCCTCCTCCTCCTCCTTCTACATCTCCTCCTCATTATCCTGCCTGATCCCCCTCTTTCTCCTACTTTTATCTTATTATCATTATGCTCCTCTGCTCGTTCTTTCTTCTCCTGTTTCCTGCTCCTCTCCTCCTCCATCTCCTCCTCCTCCTCCTCCTGCTCATCCTCTCCTGCTGCTCCTCCTCCTATTCTCCTCCTCCTCTTCTCATGCTCCTCCTTCTCCTACTCCGCCTCCTCCTCCTCCTTCTCACCTCATCCTTCTCCTTCTCCCTCCTCCTCCTCTGATCCCTCTGTTGCCTCCCTCCTCCTCCTTCTCCTCCTCCTCCTTTTCCTCCTCCTCCTCCTCCTCCTCCTCCTCCTCTTGTTCCTCCTCCTCCTGCTGTTCCTCCTCCTCCTCCTGCTCCTCCTCCTCCCCCTCTTACACCAACACCGAACCGCGTGCGTGTTTCGGTTGCTGTTGTATGCTTCCATTGTTCGGTCTCGGAAAGCCGCCACTGGCCCGCAGGGAAGTCGAACGACGACTGGGGATGAAGAGCAGGTCGTGAGGGGAATCGTCGATGGATCGTCGTGGAGGCTCGTCGAGGAGGGCCGCCGGAATGTCGAGGAGCCCCGTCGAGAAGGGTTGCCATCCCTCGCTGCCTCCCCCCCTGCCTCTAAGCCTCGTCTCGCCCCTCCGCCTTCACCCGAACGACCCAGCACTCCCGGCCTCGACGGCCGAGGGCTCAGCGACCGAAGTGGCACTTGCCCCGCCTGTGCGCAGCGAAGCGATGATGCGTATGTGTCGACATCTGTGGACCTGTTATATCGGGAGCGGCCACAATGGGGGTGTCCAAGAGGGCGGGGTGCAAATGATGGCCAGCGGCATTTACGCGGCCCAGCGGGGGGGGCTAGGGACGTAATGAAGTAGGAAGAGGCGCCGTGAAATCTGAGGACAAATCATGGCCCACGCCATGAAATCCCCCCCCCCGAGTCATCACCCCCCTCACTGCCGCCCCCGAACGTTCCCTGCGCAGTCTGTGCGCAGCGCAGCGATGATGCGTCTGTGTCGACATCTGTGGATCTGTTACAATTACACACGAGGAAAACCGCAATCTTTGGCTGGCTCCCAGACATGATCGCGCCGTAAAAACATCAGAACGGCGGGTTTTCAGCCGTTTTCGGCCTCGTGGGGCGAAAACCGGTCCCGGGGAACGGGTCCCGGGGAAAGGTCCCGGGGAAAGGGACTACAAAAAACCGGTCCCGGGGACGAAAAACCGGTCCCGGGGAAAGGGTCAACCCGGGAGCCCGGGAACCCAGAACCCTACCCTAGAAGACAAGACATCGTAACCAAATCACGCGCCCAAAGCACTGTAATGTACAATGGTTTGTTGCGTGTACGTGCGTAACCAAATCGGCTTCTTGTTGAGCCAAGTTCGTATGAGAGGGGTGCATTGTTTTGATCTGGTTGCGCGCAATTTGATTACAAAGTGTGATTTGGTTATGGTTTGGTTATGAAAATATCAAATTTGGTTACGATTTGGTTACGCTATATCGAATTTGGTTACAAATTGGTTACGTTTCCATATGGTTACGATTCGGTTGCGATTTGTTTACGGTTTGGCTAAACGGGGTCCGTCGTGGAAACGGATGGTGTGGCTAAACGGGGTCCGTCCGTACACACCGTGTTGCATCGTGATTCCATCCTCCCTCCCTCCGAACCTCTCTGATGTCTCGCCGCCCATATCCCGTGCCAGAGCCCTCTCGTCAAACATTGATCCGAGCTTGTCCCCACGGGTCTAGCACCCACCCAAACAGAGCCCTCCACCATATCTTATGCCTCTTCCGTGCAGACCCCCCGCGTAAGTCGCCTCTTTGAAATCCACACTCCTCATATTCTCCCTTCTCCCCCCTAGCACCGCCAAGTTTCAATCATGTATCCCCGCACCTAGTCCTTCTTCAAAGCCTCCCTCTCCAGGCTGCCTCCTCCCCTCCAAGCCTCCTCCTGCCCTGCCACTCCTGTGATACTTCCTGCAAGCCTCATTATCGCCCCCGTCTGTTTCGGCCTCCCTCAAATTCTTCTTCCAAGCCTCCTCCCTCTGATCTTCAAATCCCGCGTCGAACCATGAATGCGTCAATATTACTCCTGAGCCCTCGTGCTCTCACCGTGCTTCCGTCCTCCTCCTCCTCCTCCTCCTATTCCTCCTCCTCCTATTCCTCCTCCTCCTACTCTACCAGCTTGGCAGACTCCCCCCTGCTCCGCCCGCCCCCATCTTCAGCCCCATCGGCAATGTCGAACATGGCCGTTTCGATATACTTACGGTTTGGTTATGATTTGGTTATGATTTGGTTATGATGTGGTTGCGATGGTTGCAATTTGGTTATGATTTGGCTTCGAAAATTGAAAATATGGTTACGATTTGGTTATGCGAACATCTTCCTGGGAAGGTTTTGGTTACGGGGGTGTTGAATGCATTTTGATGGCTCAAGTGTGTGAGGGGTCGATCGTAACCAAATTCTTCGCGTTTTGGTTACGCGCAACAGTTTCGAGCGTATCCATATGATTTGGTTACGTACACTAGGGTAGCACCGAAATCGGCCCGGAACCAACCACCGGGAACCCGGTGACCCGGAACCGGGAACCCGGGAACCCCGCCTGCCACCAAAATCGGCGGGGGAGTTTCGCCGAATCTTTCAACTTCCGCTAGAAACCCTTTAGTGCAAGCGCTGATTGGGGAACATTATACATGTACATTTGAATCTGACACGTACAAGTGGCACATGCGTGCCCTGGCTCATACTCACCAAACTGCAACGAGCAAAGATCGCTGGACATTGGCTGGAAGAGGAATCTGAGACCCCATCCGAAGAGGAGGAAAAGAACGAACATGGAGACGCAGATGAAAACGGAGAGGACGGAGAATGCGGATCACCAGGGGGCTGTTGGGAAGGAGGAGCAACAGCGGAAACACAGTCCAACGGAGGTGGGGTTGCCAAACCTTGCGATGTGTGTGGCGCATGGTGTTTTCACACATTGCGGCAGCAGTTGAAGAAAACAGCTCAGAAGCCAATGCTTGGAAGTGATCTCGAGCGAAACTGCGATCTTGAAGAACACGGCGACATTTTCAAATACGTCGGGCTCAACTTTGGTGGCGATGCGCCGCGCGAAACGGGTAATAGCTTTAAGAACAACGTCCACACCCATTGAACACAAATGTGTTTGGACGGTGTGAAATTACCATGGTGAACGCCCATTGTGCTTGCACCGTGACGCCGCGATCTGCGCGATGGGTGCGTGCGTGTTTCGGAACCCGTGTATACGTACTTGTCCCAGAAACAGGCAGCACATAGAGTTCTTACG